ACAATTTTCAAGTTCCTACCTTTAAATCGACACCCCTATACAAACTTTCACTTATGAAAATCCAAAAACCCTGAAACGCTTCATTATTTATGCTCAAAAGCTGTATTTCAAATTTTGCTCTGTGGAAAACAAAAACAAATCTATCCCACGGGAACCGTACATTTTTTCGGGATAAAAAGCCTATGTGCTATTCCAGACTATAATCTATTTCTGTGCCAAATTTCATTCAGATCCGTTCTGACGTGATTGAGCAACAAACATCCATCCATTCATCCAAACTTTTGCATTTATATACATAGTAGCAGATTATCTCCTACCGATTCACATTCAATAATCTAATATAAATTTCAATACAGTAACCTTTCTTTTCTTTACAAATCTAGCTGACAAACCCTTCAATATTTTTTAATTTCCGTTTGACATTTGTTTTTGCAAATATTCTGATTTTCTTAAACAATTTTTAATTCTCAGATATGAAGTCTTCATATTCCCAGATCATGACCCATCAAACATTGATTAATCAATTTTGACAACAAAAAATACGTCACTAAATTAATTTTGTATTGTACATTATTTATGTACGTTCTTTCATTATATTTAAATATTAAAACATTTATTTTTGTTACATATACGTTTTTATTGTTCCTTTGACATAAGTATTAGTTGTTTTCTTTTATAGGTATATTTGACTAACTAAAAGTTATAGCGTTTTCAATTCCACTGCCCTGCCTGCGAGGAGTGCACATAAAAGATGAGCGATATATCGATACCGGTTACTTTTTAGAGTGAAAAGTAACTGGTATCGACATATCTCCCACTTTTCGTATGCTCTTAGATCAAGCCAAGCACTGGAATCGAAAACGCTATTAGATTCTGATCTAAGCTAAGTTGTAAAAAGAACGCGAATTTTAGTTGACAGGCGACGTGTTTCATGTCATCCGTTTAAAAACAATCGACATTTTTATAAAATTTTATAATTTCTTCAACATTCCACACTACTATCTAGTCTCCTATTATCATAGTCTTTTAATCTCTCTAAAATAATAATTTCATAGGATATCTTTTTTCGTACGGTGCACAGAACACTCATTTTGTTATGGTTTATGGTTGACATCAACATCCATGTACCTTAGCATCAGTAAACGGGGAAGAAAAATTCTGACACAATCATCAAAAGAACGTACAACTAAGCTTAGTTGATATAAGTTAGCTCAGATTAGTGGTAAAAAGAAAGCGACTATTGTCTAAATCAGTATTTCTCAAAGTGTGCTCCGCGGAGCCCTGGGGCTTCCGCGTAATAGTCACAATAAAAAAAGTGACACGCAGTACTGTGGTTCGCCACAAAAGGGAGGACCTGGTTTGAGGATATTTTTTTTAGAATTCACTTAGAGAGGATATTATTTTGCTTGAGGAACTTTTTTTTAGAGCTCCGTCAAATATTTCACTTGTCAAAAAGTTTCCGTCGCCAAAAAAGTTTGAGAAACACTGGTCTAAATAATTATTAAAAAAATAAAAATGGGTTTTTGGACTATCGGTGTTTTCGATTATCTGGCAAAGACTCGGTCTCGATAATCGAGGTTTTACTGTATGTAAATTATAAAAATTGCAATTGGTATTAAAATTAAACTAATTTAATAAAACACGTTCGTTCCTATTAAAACTACAAGAGAATAGTCTCTTTTTTACACCCTTCATCATTCTACATTATGGGTACAATTCGCCAATTTCCAAAATGATATGAAAAACAAATAAATACTTTAATAAAATTTTACTCAAGCTTTTCAAATTTTAAGTGTCAAATATAGAATTTCTTTTATAATCACATCTGAATGTGTTCTGTTCCAGTTATTGTTTAAACATATTTTTTCCAATTTCACTAGTTTTATATAAGTACAGTTCATCAAATTTCTAGAGGTGTTCGACGCCCAGACAGAGAACGCGCTAAGTGTGACTGAGATAGCTATTGTACAGTCTGCTAAACAAGTTATTTTAAATAGTTTTTAATATTTTTAGGTAATTAAATTTTAAAAGTGTGGAATAGTTTAGGGATTAAATTGGTCTGATTGGACTTTCTTAGAACGTTTTTAAAAGCAGCTAAAGATAGTATGTAGAATTGAAAATAATTATTATGCCATAAAAGGTTTTTGGAATTCCTTCAACCTTTTGAAATTGAGTGAGAAAATATAAATTTTATAGGATAGCGGAAAATACCTATAATTTTTTTGTAGGCCTTTGTAAATCGTGGAAATAGTTTATATTTTATTTCTACCTTATTAAGGAAAATGGTACCTATTATTAATAACGGTTGTTTCTGAAACATTACTAAAATTTTCGAAATTTTGTTTTTCTACAAAATAATAAACTATACTATTTAGAAAAAAATTTATTTCTCTTATAATTTTATAAAAAATAACAGGGGAATATTTACATTTCTTGATCTATTAAACAAAACGATAAATTATCTCGACGAATGACACCATGTTCTAGTACGGAAGCTAGCTTTACATTTTTGTTGGTGGTTTCATGGGTTTCATAACAATTTTTTGTAATTGTAGTTTACACGTACATATACCTCTTAACACTTGTTTGCTTTATTAAAAAAGTGTGTTGTTGTAATTTACGTCGAAATAAGTCAAAAACAACTTGAAACCCCATATAAAATCAAAAAGGAGAAACGGAAAAAAATTGAGCCTGTAAATGAACACAACTCAGAAACAAAAATAGCTATCTAATAACAAAAAAATAAAATTTGATTCTTGTGCAGCTTCATCTATATCAATAACTGTTTTTGGCTTTTTAATGGTTTTTCTTGGTGATGAAAATTCCGATATCTCACGGTTATCGATTCTTTTTTTCTCTCCAGAAATGCGGACGACAGTGTTTTTAGATACTCCTGTGGCTGCAGCAACACGATCATTTACGTTTTTAAATGGTATTGAAGGTGAATTAAAGTTTCCTTCTCTTCTCATAAACTCTATAACATTGGCTATTATTTCGCGAGATTGACTGTTAATCACGCGGCCTCTTAATTTGCTATTAAACTCCATACTTAGGTTCTATTAAACTGTAATGAGCAAAAAACACAAACGAAAATAAAAGAAATGTTTTAGCGAAATTTACATCTGACATTTACGTCTGAATGAAATAGTGAAATACTTGATGCGCAGAGTTTACTTTCATTGCGTAAATCCGTCGGGATGCCTGTCAGTAGTGCTTTCTCTGTCTAGCCGTCGAAAGCCTCTAGAAATTTGATGAACTGTACAGTGTCGCCATCTACATTCTATGTCCATCGTCCTCCAATGATATGTCCATAAGGTTTACCCTACTATAGTATCTTCATACAACGGTTGTAGTCAACCTAGTAACCAAAAGTATCAATGGGCTCAACTTAATCCTACTTACGAGCTAAATTGAATTTCTGATGGATACACAATACACACACGAATTACGTCAACGTTCCTTATGTGAATTGAAGAGTCAACGACTATTTTTCTTAGAAACTGTTATCGCATATCTTATGTCATTATTTCATATTTCATATTTATTTATTGTATCTTTACAAGTTTAAAATTATTATCATTTCTAATAATATTATAAAACTTACAGACTAGTCCCAATAAAAATTATAGTAAAAAAATTAAAATTTAACATCCACACCTCCATGCACACCTAGACACAATCTACCTACTTCCATCCACCTATTTATCCATGTAACATTACAACAGAACAGATTTAAAATTTGTTATAAAAATTAAGTAAAGAATTTAATTACAATAAAAATTTACAATAAAATTTTCAAGTTTAAGTTGTATTATTTACTCCTGGTATGGCATCCAAAAATTCTCCAACTGAGTAGAATGCATTCTCGATTAGGTACTTTCTTAATTTATCTTTAAATATATTATATTTGCAGTTACCTATTATCTTGGTTGAGTGATTATAACAAATAATGCCTTGGTAATTCCCCGTGTTCTGTCCAATACCTAATCGCGAATATGGCGTTCGAAATTCATTCGCCCCACGTGTATTATATTGATGTATCATATTACTTCTTACATATTTCGATTCATTTGCTTTTATATTCAGGGTTATTAAATATATATATAGACATGGCAATGTTAGTACTGACAAATATTTAAAGGCATTTTTACAGTGTGCTCCATAGGGCAGACCTGCAATACATCTTACTATCTTCTTTTGCATTATGAAAACTATTCCCATATGAGAGGAGTTACCCCAGAATGACAGACCATATGATAATGTAGATTGTACTAGACCATAATAGGCTAGCCTAAGTATTGGTAAGCTTGCGGTATTATATAATTGCCTGAAGATGAAACACATTGAGCTTAACTTTGATACAATATAGTTAGTGTAAGCCTCCCATGTAAATTTATGATCCACAATTACTCCTAAATATTTAAGCTGGTTCACTTGTTCAATGGATTTGTTGTTAAGTCTTATCAACATGGAGTAATCATGTTTAACATTCTTAGGCTGAAATGTCATGAATACTGTTTTGCCTACATTGACCAAAAGCCCATTCTGGTTTATAATATTTTTATGTGAATTATTTACTTGGTAATTAGATCTCTTGGTAGTTAGATGTATTATGTTAGATGAAATAAAACTTGTAAAATTTTAAAATATTTTTTTTTAAACGAATTTTGAGATCAGAAAATATTTGTCACGCCAGCCACCGGGATTTACAAAATATATTGTTATACATATATTAAAGTTACCATATTTTGAAAAGTAGAAAGCGGGACAAATCGAAAACAACGAGATACCTAGAAATTTGATGAACTGTACTGATTATTTACGAGAGTTAATTTAAAAAAATTTAAATTTAATTTAATTGAAATTTTAGCTTAAGAAATTTTTATTACCTTTCATTTTGTGTATTTTTATATAAATGAATAATACATATATTATTTACTAGATAAATTGGATTTTTTTAATAAATTAAAAATAATGTATATTTTTGATTTTAAACTCACCTTAAAATAAGATTTCCTATAAAATTGCAAATAATAATGATATCCTCTGACGGTGCAATTAGTGCAAGTCTGGCCATTCTTTTGGCAAATGCTGCAACTAGATTTTCTGGTAGATGAGTTGAACTCATAAAGAGATCCGACAAGTAGAAAAGTCTAGCCTTGTATTTTGTGTGAAATATTTCTGGTTCAAACATTGAATACAATTTGGTAAATATATTCGGGTAGTCTAAATTGTGCACCTGAAAATTATAAAATGTTTAAATTACAAAAATTTTAAAATCAAATTAATACTTTGTATATTAAAATTTGTGTAATGATACGAGACATTTAAGAAAAAAAAAATGGGAAACCCCTTCATTTAAAAACTACTAGATATTTATTAAAACAAAAAGCAGCAAATTTTCAAAGATTTAATACAGAATGGCACGTAAATGTTTTCTTTTTTTTCCTCTTAAAAATTATCAAAATAAATATTTTTCGAAGGTTTACAAAAAAAATCAATGGTTCTCCAAAATAAATTTTCAAGGTGTTCGGATTGCTCTTAAATGTACAAGAATTTATTTATTTATTTACCTAAGAATGATTTGTATGATGCTTTCTGCATTCTATGTGCTTTTATTGCTTGTTTGTATTGTCTATAGTCTAAAAAAATATTTTTAAGTTTGTCACCATAGAAAGTATTAGACACTAGGTCCAGATTAAAATAAGTATACACGATGCATGAGGCAAAATAAAGATTGGATGCTTATTTATATTTAGATGGGAGCAGCATAAGAAGAGTAATTGGTTTAACCACACCCTTTCAATTGCAAGCATGGGATATTGCGGTTTGCACTCAGCAATATATTATTATATTTCTTTCTATTCAATAGCATTGTGTTTCTATACCAATCTCTTTGAGTCAAGGATTGAAAAGTAAACATATTGTATAGAACTGAAAGTAAGTTACAGCAATTTTGAGAAATTATTATAATTACTACTGATGAACTTTCCAGAATTTTTATAAAATTATTTTATATTTTTTTATTTTCCTTACATTATACGGTAAAGCATTGAATATTTTTGGTTCCCATCATATTTAAAGAACGGAAAATATTACATTTACTGATTTTGTTTGCCAAGTATTTTCTAAAAATGTAATTCGAACATGTTAATTTATGTAAATAATAAAAAGTACACGTCTCAAAATAGAGCCTTGTGGCACAGCATATCTCTACAAATGATTAAAATTATAAGAAATGTATATGTACTAACCTGTATCATAGTAAATATACCCTGCAGTGCTAAAAGGCTAATAGATCCTCCTACATCTAGGGAATCCATAAGGAAATCCGTGAGAAGAAGAGGTTTTTCAAGATTTGTAAGCACTCTTTCTAGTAATACAATTAACATTTTCTTATGAGTTAGTGGAGTATGCTCCCAGTGCATCACACAATGCCAAATTTTATTTAATGATTTAATAGTAACCGTTTCATCAAAGGTAAAAAATGATCCTAAAAAGAGTACATTTAATATAGAGATAGCTAGATAAAAATAAAAACTTACCATTTCCTTCGCTGCATAATATTTTAGTATCATTATTTTGGTGTACCTGAAGCTTTTCTAGTAATGCTAGGTAATTCATAATATATGTTTCATTCGGATTCGATTTTGCAGTTAAAGATGGTAATAATTTCCATGTGAAGAACAAGATATCATCAAACAATAAATATTCAGTATATTTATTGACCAGTTGGACATTGTTTTGTTTATTAGATAACATTTTTATAAGGATAGATTTCAATTTAGACAAAGGTACATAATTTTCAAAAGTGCCTTTAGATTCCAAGGGATATTTTCCCTCATATGATAATAAGTTCATGGCTGTAGATAATCCTAGAAATGATAAACATAAACAATATTATTTACAAGTTCGGCTTCCAGTAAAATAAGCTATCAATTTACCCTGTGTTTGAATCTTAGGTGAAGCATTTTCCATGGTATGCACAATTTTAGTAAAACATTCTTCATACACATTTCTCAACCAATCCTTATACTGATTTTCTGGAGTCTGTTCTATCGGTTTTAAAGGGATGACTTCTATGTACATATTTCTGTCCTTTAAAAGGGTGGAAAATATCATTTCTAATGTTAGTAAACAGGAATGCAGATCCGCCCCACAATCAAAATGTTGAATAATCCCCATTAACATTTCAGAGTTATTCCTTGATAGTAGGAATCCTTGGCCTTGCAATCGTAATTGCTTTGATATTTTCATTGGTTTTTCTGTTTGAGACATTGCCTAAAATGCAAAAATACGCAGTAAAAGTTATGACCCCAACAACAGAGGTTAAGTTAGGGACTTTAAAGACCTATACAACACTCTGAAGTTGTTGTTTTTAAAAACAAAAACATTTTCCAATAAACACCGAATACCGAATAAACAAGACTATCATAAAAAGAAGAAAACGACCGGATCGAAAAGATTTAGGACATTCATGGTCTACAAATATGGCGGACAACAGTGTTCCCGGTCTCCAGTGACGTACTGTCATAAGAGGGTAGGGAAAAAGAATATTAGATCTATAGAGAAAGTAAAAGTTGAAAAGTCTTTTGGTAGGTAGAGAGGGGGTAAACGTCAAACCACGTCGGGCGGCTTCGAGAATTTCACAGTAATGTTTACCTGCCAGTGTCGTTTCATAGAATAAGTAATTTTAAATTGTTATCGGCGGAACCGGACAATCGCATGTATTTATGGATTATAAATAATTATTAAACATGTATTATAATATTCAAATTATAATTTTACAAAATTTCAACAGCTATTCACAATTTATTAAACTATTTACTCGAAATTGTTATTAACATCTATAAAATAATTTTGTACGCCAATGTATCGCGTCCACTTCGGTGAGATCCGCTGACAACCTGTCAATTTATGTGTATAAAGTGGGAGAACTGGCAAAAGCATTTCCAACTTTTACTTCTGTTCTACACTACACGGATTTCTCATTTTCAATGAAGCTATTTCCTGAGACGACAAGTAGTCTGTATTAGAGACCCCCCCACGCCAATGTTAAACTTTTAAACCAAATTATCGCCACCTTGTGTTTGGAGCTGGAACTAAAATGACAATTGACAGATGGCGGTAAATTCAAATTGTAATTTTTAGGAGTAGGTAGTAGTTTTAAATTAAATTTTAAATGATTTCCACATAAATTATTTTATAAAATAAAGTATGGAACTAGTAAGTTCGAAACTTTTATTTTACAAAATAATTTAGGTCGATTATACCAAATTTGAAGAATTAATTTGTTATAAGGGGTCTAATGTGGAGAGTTGGTTCTGCATATTTTTATTAAATAAATATAAGATATATCAATAAATAATAAAATAGAACATTCTTAAAATATGTTTATTAATAACTTACATAAATATTATTAGATAAAAATAAATACAAATAATAATACATATTTAACAAATACTTACTTGGAGCAAATAGATATATATTATTATATAATCTCAAATCTTTAAAATACCTATCAATAATTTAAATGTGAAGTAGATACTAGGATATTACATTTTATTAACACTAAAGTTATATATTTTATAAATGTCTTTTTAACTGAGGACAAATGTAATATAGGTATTGTATTAAAAGGTGAATCCTTTTAACTATTCATTCAATGATAAATAGGTATTTTCCTTCCAAATACAGATGGTGGTATTACTCTCTTAGGTGAAAAATGATTTCCGAATCTAGTCCAGTGATAAATTGATTATCAATTAGTTGTTGTCCCCGTTTGTCTTTTTATGATGCAGATGCATTAATATATGGTGAATCAATGAAGTTTTTCTCGAAGTTTTCAACGTAGCACCAAAATTATTGCAAAACACAGTAGGAAATAAAAAGACGAAACATCACAATTTTGCAAATAACTAAGACGAAACTATAAACAGAAACCAAAAGCCAAAGCCAACAAAAAATCACTAAAATTAGACGGAAAAATGAAACTAACCAAGAACATAAATAAATACACGTCACATCTTTGGGTTTTTCTCCCATAAGGCTTAAAAATGGAGTAAGAAATCATAATTTCACCAGTAGCCCCATCTAGAGTTTGGAGCAAATAGCATAAAAAATGTCAGTTGTCGGTTTTGACCTTGGTCATTCACGTGGAACCTCTAGTGGTCTGTATCGTCTTTAAAGTAAATACATCTGACTTTAAACCCGAGCGCAGGGATGTATGCAGAGACACATTTTTGAAATTAGAAAGTTTTCATTTAATGGCTGGAAAAGTTAACCTAACAAATGAACAAAGAAATGATACAAACGTTGATAGATGAATGTGTTGAACGAAAATTATTTATTGCCTTACACGCTAATTATAATATATACATATAATATATACTTTTAAATTTATTCATAACAAATTATTAACCACCGGTTTTTCCTGTTTTTTTTTGAGAATTTTTGAAAATTCGAGATATGAATACATGTAGTTCTTTGTAACGTAACCAAATAAAAAAATAAAAATTTTTACCAAAATTTTATTTATAGATACGTGACCAGTTGGTTAAAAATAAAATTAATAACATGAGCAGTATCCCAAATGCCTTTATGTTCTTGTTATATCGGATACGAGTATTATTGAAAGGTTATTAGGTCATCATGCACCAACTTTTATCAAGAATAAAAAAATTTAAAATTCAACAATAAAAAGTTTTTCTTCACCCACATGGATATTAGCTTATATGTACGCACAGACTACAAAACGAGCTATTGCGTTCAACTGAACGAATATATTTTATATCTATTCTAAGTAGTGGAGAATACTGCAAAATGAAATCACAGTTCATATTTTGGACACCCAAATATCATTTTTAAAATTTTAAATAAGTAACAATTCTGTCATACTAATTGTCACTACATTAAAGTTATTAAGATTAATTAAAATGAGCTATTTATATATAGAATCGATAAATAGCATTTTTATTTTGAACACATTTAAAAAAAAATTTAATCAAACTATATGAAATTAATTTAATTGAGAGTATTTTTTTGTGTCATCAGCTTCAACTGCTAAGGTTATTTCGTCTCGTGTTCTGTGTAGGCTTTGTTACTGTTTCCCAGTGCCACTTTAGGAACAGCACTGTTAATTAGAACCCAGCAGTGAAATGGTCGAATGGGGAATCCTACCATGGCATCAGAATTAATTTTAAATAATTAAATTAAATTAAAAAATCCCGGTCAACGGTGGGATTCGAACCTGGGGCCCTTGGATCCGCAGGCCCACCCTCCAAATTGCGAGTATTAAAACTAAAATTGTAAAAGTGGCCTTGGAGTTTCTGCGTACCGCGCGAAAAGTCCGGGATCGAATCCTGGAAGGGGACTAATATCTTTTTTTTTCGTGTTCATTTTATAAATTATTAAAATTCATAAAATATTTTAAAATTAGTTATTTTGTTAGGACCGATTCCACCGTTGTGTTAAACGAAGTTTAAAATTACATTTTTACATTAACAACGTCATTTTAATCTCCGTTTAACGCAACGGCGGAATCGGCCCAGCCGATTCCTCCGTTAATATTAATAACCCAAACTAATTTTTTAAATTTGTAGATTTTCGTTTGTGGGCCGTAAAAGAAAATATACTGAACAACTCGGGTGGATTGTCTATATCCACTCTTGTTGCACAAACTACTATTTCATGCAACCTTATTTTTTCCAACAAAACTTGTAATTATCAAAGACATTACAACTAAGAGACCAAATTGTTTTCATTTTTATGTGGCAAATCATTATTCCCACCAGATTCTCGTTTATTGCGTATTTGCCGGTTTTATCAGTCTGTAAAAATTATTTGGAGAAATTACATTAGAAAAATAAAATTTGATGTGTATCCTATAACTATAATTTTATATTATATAAATAAAAATATGTTTTTAATTAAATTATATATTCTTTAAAGTTTTAATATAAGCTAATTTTTTTATAAAACTCAATATTAATCTAAACAAAATATTAGGATTGCAAAGAACTCCGTAAATACGGCAACGCTGAATATCTTATTTTACAAATTTAAAACTAGTACCTATTTTTATAAATGAAATGGAGTTACTGTAACCAGCCGCAACTTTGCCAATCGGGTCTAACCTCAGAGGTCTAACAGCTATTTTGGGTTTCGGACAGTTTCTGTGTGACTTATTGATTTATTCATTTATAAAATACTATTTTTGTAAACTTTTGTGAGAAATATAAAGAATTATGGTGCATGCATGTGTAGTTTTCAATAAGGTAGATCATTTAAATCGAAATTTATCCTTTCATCGGTAAGTATTTTCAGGTTAAGATATGTTGTTTTCATTTGAACCAGTGGAGTAGGGCACCCGTCTTAAGACTGTTTTGACTATACAATTTCTTGTACAAGATTTGATACAATTTCTTATAGAATTTAAATTATATAGGAACACTTAGTAAATTGTTAGAAAAATGATTATCCAATCTAATTATTCAGACAATATTCACTGCAGGTTTGATAATATACAATTTAAATTGTACAAGAAATTGTATCAAAAACTTGTGTAGTTTAAAACAGTCTTAAAACAGTTTTTAAAGTGATATTCCTTTTATAAATTTGTAAATTATTATTTTACCAATAAATAATTATTGAATAGTGGCAAAGAAAATTTAACGTAAAATGTAGAATATCTTAAAAATGATTTACCTATACCTATACATATTTTTTAATATTCTATTTAGGTTTCCGCAAGATCATGAGAAAAGAAAACTTTGGTTTTATCTAGTAGGGATCCTTAAAAATGAGCCCCTTCGTAAAAAGCCAGAGTTGTGTTCAGAACATTTTTTTCCTGAAATGTTTTGGTAGGTACAAATAGTGCTAAATATATCAGAAAATATGCAAACTCCAGACGGTGTGAGGGCTTTCTATTTTCGGATGATTTATTCAACAGGTAAAAATACAAAATAAATTTTTTTTGTTTACCTCTGAACATTATTTATTACCTATATGTATGTATATCTAATGTATGGGTTTTTAGTTTTTAGTTTTCGGAACAGTAAGGAATAACACTAATAACTAAGCATAAAAAAATTAAATTAAATTTTAGTTTATAAAATTAAGGTATTTAATATATTTAAAACGTTATTTTAAAAAAGTTTACAGTTTTTTTACGATATTTTTTGCCATACCATGTGTTTTTTGTAATAATTAATTAAAAAATTATATATATTTAGGACAGTGTTTTGTTTAGATACCCCTACCTACTTAGGGGCCTATTCAGTAACTCTGAACGACGTCGTTAATAGACGATAATCGTTCACAGACGACTTTTCTTATTCAGTAGACAACGATTGTCGTTGAAAATAGACAAATATGGTTGTAAAATTGTCGTTCATCAACGATAGCCAAAGAGCTGTCGTTAATAATATGAAGTGTCGTTATAGTGATTTTTGCATTCCCTCTCATTTTTCATTGTAAATCAGGATGTGTTCTAAATAATAAAAGCACTTTTTTACAAATTTTACAACTAAATTGCCATCTAATACCTAATACAGCAAGTACAATTTGTAAGGAATTTTTTTCTAATTTATTTAATTATTTTAAAAATAAATCGGATTCAAAGTTAGGATTGCCCATTCAACCATTTACTATTGGATTCTTATTAACAGTGCTGTTCCTAAAGTAGCACTGCGAAACAGTAACAAAACCTATATTACGGAAGTACCTATAATACTTCTCCGTAACCTACACAAATTTGGTCTGTCTTTCAAATACAATAAAAAATACAACTTCTATTGTTCTCGAGTTGTTTTTTGTATTCTTTTGGAATAGTTCTCAGTTTTTTTTTAATATATCCATACTCATTTAAATAAACCCTACATACAATACGACCAGCAAAAATGGCCTGCGAGAAACAGAATTCCTACGAATCGAGAATCGACCCCCTGATCGTGTTGTAGGTTAAGAACAATAATTAATATATTCTGAAAAACAAATGAATATATCTACTGGTAGAATTTTTATTTTACGTTCCAAAAAAATCTCAAATATACCGAGTGTTTAAATTAAAGGGTTAAAGTTAAATACCGCCTTTTATATATAAAAAAAAAACAAAGTTTTATAGTTTTTTTGGGTGTTACTCAATAAGTAGAAATCCAATAAAAAAATGTTTCCTTTAGAAGTTTCTTATTATTTTATGAAAAAATAGGGTTCCAATTAAAAAAAAAAAAAAATCCACCTCGATATGGCCATATTATGGTCAGCTATAAAAAAATTAATTTAGCCAAAATGTTTCCCCTAAAAAACTATAAAACTTTTGTCTGATACTTTTTTTTATAAAATGCGTATTTTCGGCGATATTTAGGGGCCTATTCAGTAACTCTGAACGACGTCGTTAATAGACGATAATCGTTCACAGACGACTTTTCTTATTCAGTAGACAACGATTGTCGTTGAAAATAGACAAATATGGTTGTAAAATTGTCGTTCATCAACGATAGCCAAAGAGCTGTCGTTAATAATATGAAGTGTCGTTATAGTGATTTTTGCGTTCCCTCTCATTTTTCATTGTTTTAAATAATAAAAGCACTTTTTTACAAATTTTACAACTAAATTGCCATCTACCTAATACAGCAAGTACAATTTGTAAGGAATTTTTTTCTAATTTATTTAATTATTTTAAAAATAAATCTGATTCAAAGTTAGGATTGCCCATTCAACCATTTACTATTCGATTCTTATTAACAGTACTGTTCTTTGCGAAACAGTAACAGAACCTATATTATGGAAGTACCTATAATACTTCTCCGTAACCTACACAAATTTGGTTTGTCTTTCAAATCCAATAAATACAACTTGTACTGTTCTCAAGTTGTTTTTTGTATTCTTATGGAATAGTTCTCAGTTTTTTTTAATATATCCATACTCATTTAAATAAACCCTACATACAATATACGACCAGCAAAAATGGCCCGCGAGAAACAGAATTACTACGAATCGAGAATCGACCCCCTGATGATCGTGTTGTAGGTTAAGAACAATAATTAATATATTCTGAAAAACAAATGAATATATCTACTAGTTCCAAAAAAATGTCAAATATACCGGGTGTTCAAATTAAAGGGTTACAGTTAAATACCGCCTTTTATAAAAAAAAACAAAGTTTTGTAGTTTTTTGGGGAAAACATTTTGGCTAAAAATGTTTTTTTATAGCAAACCATATTATGGCCAACTTTTTTTCGCGCAGCAAAATTTTCAAGTAGGTGTTACTCAATAAGTAGAAATCCAATAAAAAAAATGTTTCCTTTAGGGCCGATTTTAACACAACGGTGGAATCGGTCCTTAGAAGTTTCTTATTTTTTTATGAACTCTAAGAATACCTATGTAAAAAATAGGGTTCCAATTTGAAAAAAAATCCACCTCGATATGGCCATATTATGGTCAGCTATAAAAAAAATAATTTGGCCAAAATGTTTCCCCTAAAAAACTATAAAACTTTTGTCTGATACTTTTTTTTTATAAAATTCATATTTTTGTCGATATTTAACTGTAAAACTTTAATTTAAACACCCGGTATAATCATCAACATACGTTTTTTTTATCACAAAACACTAAATTATAATACCAACTTACTAGAAATCATCGTTCAGATTTGGTAACTAGAAACAACGTAACGACTTTGTTATTGAATAGAGTTTCAAAAATTATCGTTATAAAAGTCGTTGGTTGAACTGTCGTTAGCTTAACGATGTCGTTCATAAACGATAAATTACTGAATAGGGCCCTTAATTGTAAAACTTTAATTTAAACACCCGGTACAATCATCAACATACGTTCTTTTATCACAAAACACTAAATTATAATACCAACTTACTAGAAATCATCGTTCAGATTTGGTAACTAGAAACAACGTACGACTTTGTTATTGAATAGAGTTTCAAAAATTATCGTTATAAAAGTCGTTGGTTGAACTGTCGTTAGCTTAACGATGTCGTCCATAAACGATAAATTACTGAATAGGGCCCTTAATATTAATTTAAAATTTTAAATAATTTTGTTTAACATCATACCAGGGCACCTATCCTCGACTAGTGCGTTTAAGCGCTCGCTTTGAAGAGATGCGAGTGGTTCAATGCGACGACGCATTAGAAACCGTATTCTTAACCCTTCGTTCTGTGCCTTCGTAATCCTCTTTTATAAATGCGAATGGCAACTTGGCAACCATGTATGATCGACGATTATTTATGTTAAATTGTCTGCTAGAAAGGGGACTCAAAGTTCACACCGCTTGTTTTGTGAAAATTATTCGCAAAAAAGAAGCAATATTAATATGAGCTAGTAATGGTTTTGAGCATGAAGTCATGGTTTTGGGTTATTTTTTGATGTACTGTTTGGCTATACATAATTTGCAGCGTTATAAAATGGAAAATATTAGTAAAAAGACACATATAATTAACCGAAACAATCTGATAAACGCTTGATCAGAAAGTCTGAAAGGAGCTTTCCTATCATCATAAACTCTTCGAGGATGATTATTTGCCTCTTCTAATTTGTAAAAAGATATTTAAAAAAATTATATTTGCCATCATACCTATAGGTCACGATCAATTTATGAAACAAAACAAAAACACTGCAATATTAAATCGTGCATCCAGTTAGACCTTCGCAAGCTCTTTGGAACTTCGCATTTGAATGCGAAGAGCAAAAACCCACTCGCTGTCAAATGCGCACCCGCAATATAAATTCGAACGACCAAGAATAGCTACAACACGCTTTTGAGCAAATACGCATTCGCATTTAGTAAATGCGCATTCGCATTGATTAAAGCACCAGTCGAGGATAGGTGCCCAGGCAAATATATAGTAAATGCCAATAAACTATAAACCAATAAATATTCAAAATCTCTAGTATTTGAATTTACTTGTACATGAAAAAAACATCATAATTATATTACTAAAAAAATATACCAACTTATTTACGTATTTTTTTAACATACTGCTCTGACAATACTGGTAAGTTTAAAACTCTACGCTACTGGCGAGCATATTATGGACACTGTTTACAACGTTGCCAGCCGGTCCTAAGAGATCTGTCTTTCTCTCTTCCACTCACTAACAATTTTAAAACAATAACAGTCAGCAATTGTATGGGATTTATGAATGAAACATTTTGTCTCTATGTTGTAATATCTTTGGTAATTATAAAATAAAATCAGCTTCGCTTCTTGATTTGCTAGTCTAGATGCTTTAGACGTCTAGCGGTTAATTTTTTTGACAAGTGACCAGTGCAGTGACATATTACATGTCACTTGTAATTTTTAAATGTCAGTGAATCGGTGAAAAGAATAACAAAAATTAAAAACAAAATTACATAAACGATAAACGACCAATTTAATAATGAAAATAAACGAGAAAAACTTGTGTGCTTTCGCTGTTTCTGCGACTCCAATTGACAAGGAAGGATATTTAAATAAACGCGGAGAAGTCAATAAAACTTTTCAAAGACGGTACTTTGTATTAAAAGGCAATCTTTTATTTTATTTCGATAAAAAAGGGGACAAAGAACCAGTTGGGGTTATTATTTTAGAAGGTTGCTCAATAGGTAATAAATTAAGTTTCTATTTTAAAATTAATTTATAAATATGTTGATAAAGAATGATTGTTTTGTAGAATTAGCAGAAGATGATGCTCAATTTAGTTTTAAAATTGAATTTCATGGGCAAAATAATAGAAGTTATGTTCTGGGTGCCGAATCCCAAGAATCAATGGAACAATGGATGAAAGCATTGGCCTGTGCAGGTTATGATTATATGAAATTAATGGTGGCTGAACTTCAACGACAATTAGATGATATTGAAGGTATGCTTGCTTTTTCAGACATATTTTATCTATTCTTGGTTTAACCTTTTTTCATCAAATTCTTATTTAAAGTAATCATCCTTAATTGATAATGAAGTTTTTAAAACCAGTTATAAAAAAATGACAATGATAAGAATCAGATAAGATTAGTCTTAATCCCAGTAATTTTATCTTTTACTTACTTTTATAAAGAATTTGGTTTTTCTGTTGAATGCTAAATGTCAAAAACAGTGAGTACACAATGACTGATATAAAAGAAAGCAAAATTGATAGTTATGAGAGTGGTAAGAGTCGTTTTTATATTTGTTTAGAGACTCCAATGCAAGTAACTAATTCACAGCCAGCTGGGTCACCAATCCCTCCACCTAGGACTAGACATAATCCTTTTAACAGGCCAGATAATAATCCGCATCAAAGATCTCACAGTTTAAGAGCTAGTAGCTCCTCTAATTCTGGTAAGCATATTATAGATATAAAGTACAATAAAATGGAACCTATTTAGAGCTAGATAAATAAAAATAATTTTTGGTCAACAAATTAGATTGCCAAATAAATGAAATTATTATTAGATCTTGATATTTATGTTCAAAAAAAAAAAATATGATCATTCTAACTTATTTTTTTACAAATTTTCGTTTTTTTTTTTAGTAACAAATTTCAAATCTAAAAAAGTATCAAACAATAATTAATAAAAGTAAGTAGGTGCAAGCAAATGTGATAATTTTGTGTGGTATAAAACTTTTTTTGTTGGCCAATGTATAAAGATTGGACATTTGTTTTAAAGAATGTGTAAATAATTAACTATAATAATATATTATTCAAAACTATGATTTCAATTAAATATAATGTACTGATTATTATTGTCAAGAGATGGTGAAATATCTTATAATTGAGACAAATAAAGATATAAATATGTGGTTAGGACTGACTACCTAATCTTATTTTTTTTTTCACAAATTACAATGATAAAGGATTTTGTAAAAAGTTACTTCATCACTGCTGCAGTGAAGTTCCCTTTCATTTTCGATAACTAACCATTAAGTGATAATTACAAGTATACCCTTTTTGTAGAGAACAAAATAGAAACATTTAATGTAAATCATGGGCTAAAATAAAACAGTTGGTAATAGTAATAATATTTATTAAAAAAAAAGAGAAGGTACATATCATGGACTAACTGCAAAAAGTGACGAAGTCAAATTTTATGTGATTTGATTTAATACGACCAAATCACCAACTGAAGAAGTCAAGAGTTTGAAAACTAGCTTTTTAACCTCCCTAGACGATATAAGAAAATATCTCAGCATTATTAAAAATTCTACTTCTACTTCGACGAATGAGAAAGACTGTAAATACAGTGCAGCAGTTACATGCTAATGCAATGCATGAGGTTTCCGAGAGACAAGAGATCTTGTAACCTGATGGTATTTAATTTGCCCCAAAAGAACGAAGAAGAAGGATATTTCTAAGTTAAAAGTTATGCTCCAGGACCTCGTAAGCTCTCCCGTGAATATCCTTTGCTCGGCTAGAATTGGAAAGCATAATAAAAATTGAAATCAATCACTTCTTCTAACTTTAGAGTCTCCCGAGGTAGCTTAAAAATATTTCTTGAGGAAGATTTAACCACAGAACAATGAGCAGTGGTCAATACTTTGAAAAATTAATTGAAAAAAAGACGTAATGGTGAACCTAATCTCATTTTGAAGTATGTTAATGGAGTACCAAAATTAATCACAAAAAAACTAAAAAAGCCTGCCGAGGTAAGATTGAAAAGCACTTCAACAATATTGGTATATTTTCAGAATGAAACTTCAACTTCTTTATGAAAACACCTCTTATTCTCAATATGACAGTTTAGTGTTTAACAAAACATGGTTAACTGGTGATATTAATGACACTGAATTAGAAATACTTGACTGCAACATATATCGAAGGGATAGATCTTCCGAAACAAGTACATTTTCTAGAGGTGGAGGGGTGCTTATAGCTGTTCATAAAGCTATAACCAGCACACTTTTGTCAGCTAGCATATATTTGTTAAAGTCCAAATAGACAAGTCTATCTTTGCAACAGCTTATTTTCCACCGCGAAGTGCGCCAGAAAAATATGTGAAGTTTACTGAACAATATCCAGACCATACACTCTGTATCCTGCGAGACTTTAAAGTTCCATACTGCTAGTGGATCAATGATAGATTGGCATCGATTGCTGTACCTTTGGATGGAGTTTCTCCAAATCAAGTTGAATTCATACAAATTCTTTCATTTTTATGCTCTTATCATAATCTTCATCAAGTTAACTCAGAAATATTAACAATAATTTACATGATTTGGTTTTTATTCAAGATAGCGAAACCGAGATATTTACAGCTGAGGATGCCCTACTTTCGGAAGATATTCATCATCCACCTCTGTCATTTGATATTAAATATGAAGCACATTGTTTTAACAACTCGGGATTGACTGGTGATGGTTTTTATAGAGATTTCCATTCAATGAATGTGGAAGAAGTGACAAATTTTCTTTGCCAGTTTAATTGGGATGTTTTATTTGAGAACAAAAGTCTTGTGGATATGATTAATACCTTTTACAATTAAAAAAAAAAAAAATACATAAAACATACTTGGAAAGTAGATCACTAAATGATTATAATGAATTTTCTTTATTAAGGAAAGGCGCACTGTAAATACTTACAAAAACAATGTTATCGAAGTTATGTTACATTAACGGAATCGTCTTTTAGGGTCAATGTTAAAAATGTTTGCAAATTTGTAAACAGTAGAAAAGGCAAAAGTAATATACCTTCGGTAATGCACTATGATAATACCATTAGTCCTCTGGCATGGAGATTGTCAATTTGTTTGCTGAGTATTTTTCTAAAACTTATAGATATAAGAATTATAATTTGCAGGATACTTTGCCTTCTAATGACATCAACCTATCACAATTTTATTTATTTATTTATTTATTTATTTATTTTTATAAATTGTTCTACAAGAAATTCCCAATTAAAGAACAGGTAAAATATGACAAAACACATATATCACCAAAATACAATATAAAAATTATAATATAAAAATTACAAAACAAAATATAGATTTAAGAAAGAAAAAAAAACAGACTATTTAAAACGATAAAATAATCACAAAAGCAAATGTTTTATGTCCAAAATTCTAATGTTAAATATATCCAACTCAGAGTTTATGCTGTTGCAATTACTACACATGACATATAATGGAGATTTGCTTAAAATGTTGGTGCGAGGAGTGGTCAAATAAAAAGTATCAATGCACCTAGAAGTTTGGCGGGGAATCCTAAAATTTAACATATGCAGCAGGTCTTTACAATTTATTTTGTTGGTTATGACTTTGTGCAGTGTAACCACTGAAAAATACTTGCGCCTTGCTTCAAGACTCGAAAAACTATGTCTTAATAACAGTTCGTTATGTGGGGCGCCAATTGGAGGATACACTTGGTCTTCTCGGAAACTTAAATATTTGAGAAACCGTCTTTGAAGAGCCTCTAACCTGGTAACGTGTAGCTGGTAACTGGGACTCCATATAACTGAAGCATATTCCAGTTTTGAGCGGATAATCGCATAATAAAGATACTTTAAAGTACTTGCATTCTTAAAATCCCGACAGTTCCGAATTATGAATCCATACATGCGGCTTGCCGCAGTTAATATACCGTCAATGTGGTCATTGAAGGATAGTGCTGAATCAAAAGTAACGCCCAAATCCACAAAGTTATTCGGTCTGCATAATAAAGTGTTGCCTATACGGTAATTGTAAGCAATTCGATCAGAGCTTAGTGAATAAGACATGACATTACACTTAGAGGGGTTCAAATTAAGGTTATTTTCCCGACACCATTCGATAACTCTTAGAAGATTTTCAGATAGCCTTTCACAATCCGCGACGTTCTTAATTGTTGTGTAAAATTTAAAGTCGTCGGCGTAAATTAAAGAGTCAACATCAACTACATCCACGATGTCATTCACGAAAATATTAAACAGTAACGGGCCTAGATTTGATCCCTGAGGAACACCGGAGGTGGCAGAATACTGATCAGACCAATTTTGTATGTCTATCTCATCAATCTATGAAAAACTATCAAAATTGGAGATTAACAAAGGTCCAGGCATTGAAGGTCTTCCACTATCCCTTATTAAAGACTGTATCTTTTTGTTCTCCAGACCCTTTTTTCATATCTTTGATCTTTCTCTAAAAAGTGAGACATTCCCAGCGTGTTGGAAAACAAGCTTCATTACTCCCATACTGAAATCCGGAGATAACTCACAGGTTGACAATTATCGACCTATTAGTATACTGAGTTGTATTCCTAAAGTATTTGAGAGCCTTATTTGTGATTATTTATCGGCTAGTTTAAAAAGTAGTTTTATTAATAAACAGTTTGGATTTATTTCTCATCGTTCAACAAGAGCTTAACCTTTTAACATTTACTGATTATCTCTTGGAATCCCTAGAGGACGGTTATTAAAGTACATGCTGTGTATATGTTTCGGTCAAAGATGATATATCGGTCTTTAACGATATTGGCCGGTCATTTTCGTAAATCTCCTATTTGATTGGACATTTTGCTGACGTTAGTGTCCGGTCAATATCGTCAGTGCTCAATTTATAACACTGCCCGTAACATATACAAATTTAAAAAAAGTCTTCGATAGGGTTAACCATAAAGTTTTAATTAATAAGATGCAGAGTTTGGGAATTCAGGGGGAACTGCTTGACTGGCTATCTTCTTACCTTACTGAAAGAATACAGATAGTGCATATTCAGGGCTTCCAATCAATAGGAATTAAAGTATCATCAGGTGTACCTCAAGGTTCACATTTGTGCCCTCTTTTATTTAATTTATATGTAAATGATAGTGCATCCTGTTTTGTCTTTGCCATTCCTAATGTTTGCAGATGATTTAAAATTATATATGAGAATAAAGAACGAATCTGATTACATAAAACTGCATGCTGATTTAGGTCGTCTCAGCAACTGGAGAAATCAATGAAATAGAACTTAATGTTAAAAAGTGCCATCAAATGGTCTTCAGTCGTAACAGAACAAATAATTACAATATTAATGGATTCACTTTGGAATCGGTATCTCAAGTTAAAGATTTGGGTGTAGTCCTCGATTCCAAATTATCTTACGTATCCCATATATAAGTGGCAATCTCAAAATCACTTCAAATGCTAGGCTTTATTAAACGTTGCGCTAAGGATTTTTTAGAGGTATCATCCATTAAAATATTGTTTTGTTCACTTGTGAGGCCCCATTTAGATTACTGTTCATGTGCCTGGTCCTCCACTACAATGTTTATATTCAAGCCATTGAAAGAGCATACATTTTTAAGATTTATTTCATTTAACGACCACCGCGGAGTCGAGGATATTAATTACTCAAATATTGAGAGTTCCCTCTTCAGATCAGATGCAT